AAGTAGAGAAACTTAATTTTTCACATTTTTAGTTGAGTAAAGTCGGGTATAAGCAAACTTGACAGTTTACATATTAATCTATGTTGAAATTTTGCAGGAATGTAGCTCAATACAAGCGCAAACTACGGCTAAAGCTTCATAGAAATCTGATGTTTTTTTTACGGAGTTATGCATGATCAACGAAAATTTTAAGGGGTGGTCGGAGACTTTTGGTCACCCACTGTAGATCTCACTTGCTTAATCCTTGTCCACTGACCAATCCCACTGAATTTATCCAATTTATTCTGGACGCCACATCGTATGCGGTATTAGTCTCTTTCCGGCGCATCTAGGGATTCATTCTATTTTCTCTATCGTCTCCATTGTCTTCAATCTCATGACTCCCTCTTCGTACTATGAAGTAGAGTTTTCTTTCAAAGTAATGGCGCGTTATGAATCGGTTACGCCTGCACATATTGAATTTTGGGCATACGGAAGGCTTTCGCTAAAGTTATCCAATCAAGATAATTTGAATTATTTAATTGCTTTGTATTTTATTTTACTAGTTCATCAATTATTGTTGAGCAGCGACGACTCATTGCTAATAGCATGTTTGCTCAATTGAATGATGAAGCATGGGGGAAACGTAAATTCAATTATTACGAAATAGACGTACAATTAAAATGTTATTCAGAAATATTATTGGTTTGGAGAAGAGCTGAATGTTGTTAGAGGGGCTCAAATGCTCATCAAAAAGGTAACGAAACAACTTTCAAGTAGCCTCTCAAAGAATACTATGATTTATCGAGTAATATGGGATATTAATATAATAAGAGATACAGTCGATAGATTTCAAAGGAAGTACCTATGCTTGAAAAAGAAATCGAAGGAGACTAACTAGATCAACAGCAGAAGTGTCAAACACTTTTTCTGAAATAATAGTCACCAAAGATGAAAAACGCGTTAGGGGTTTGTTTCATTGTTTCTCTTGGTCTCGATATGAGTGTCGCAAAAATTCTCTGCCGTGCAGGGTAACAAACCCAGCATATGGCGACAAAATCCACAAAACGAGTGCTCACTCAGCGATAGGACATAAAAAAAATTGCAAAAGGCCCGCAGGCCAAGGAGTGTTTCACGACCCCTATATCGTACGTCAGACCGTACAATTTGTTTTCGACCCGATTGAGTCGAACTTCGATTCGGTTTCCATTTGATCAGATCGAGTAGTAAGCCGATTTTCCATGTTGTCTAATCTCTAGATTGAACGAAACGTTTAAATTTACACCGCAAATTTGGCATTTTGTGTAAAATATTTCTCATCTGTTAATTCTTGGTCACTCATTAGTTCTTCCAAATTCTGATTGTGTTCTTCATCGGATGAACGTTGATTAAACATGGAAACTTACTAATTCAACTCGGTCATCACTCACCAGAAACTCGGCAGAATCCCATCATCTTGTTCGGTCCATTTGCTCTGACACTCCATTACTTGTCAATAACTTGTTTATTAAACGATAATAAATCCCGATCTCTTGCTTCCAATCCTAGCTGCACAGATTTCCATAAAGATTCGCGGTAATCCGTTACAAGAATGAATCAACATATGATTTTTCTTCCAACATGATTAATGATTCTCATCTCTTTGAACTGCTCACTCGCTACAATATGGTTTCGGCTCAAATATACAGAAGAAGATACCAATACTCTCAGTTCCCATAAGACGCATACGAAATTCACACATGTCCACTGGTGAGCATGGACTAATCTGTATGCACACCTTGTCTTTTCTGATGATGGGGATTCATTCTCGTTGTATATAAATATTGTGTGTCAGTAATAATATGGAAACATTATCGGTCTCGTTAATGCCAAGTGCATCTGAATGAAAGCCAGCACATGTGGTAAACTGCAAGCAAATCCCAACTTGCCCAAGTCCCAAACAAAACTGCGAACTTGTTAGTCATTCAACTGGGTTTACTGGTCCGTTCAAAGTGAGGATAACCTTTTCTGTCTCGTTGGTAGTAGCCAGTGATATGGGCGACGCTTCTGCAGGGCGAAACTTTCATCACCAGGAGACATCGGACGGAGTGGGAGTCTGGGTTTTATGGTAAATTCACTTACAGGAGGATAGTTGGTCTTCAAACCATCCTTTAGTAGTTCAAGAGGACTTGAATTTATACCCGACTATTTGCAGTCCCATCTTTCTTTTCTCGACCTCAACATCCGTCTGCTCCAAGACATTATGATCTGCCTCGTTTGGATCCTCCTCTTCTTATCGGATCACCCCTCTTTATCATATCTACTCCACTAGAATCTTCACCTTGTACATACGATGACGAAAGATTTGCTTCGCTCCTTGACGTTCCAAGAGTTGCGCTAGGAAGAATAGCGTTTAAAGGTGGAGCTTATGCGGCGATGTCAGCATTAAATGAATGTGAGTAGCTTGCTACGGTTTCAAATCGAGGAGGATGTACCGATATTCACTCCTCATTCTAAGGGTTCTGATCTGACCAAAACAGTTGTTTCCCCATTAGCGTGTCTCGTCAAGCCAGCCCGGAGGACGACGTATACCTGTTTGCATCTTTGTAGATAGAATATATATGTGAGTATGACACTACTATTGTCGAGTCTAGTATTACCATAAACATATGAGTTCTAAGTATTACACACAAATGTAACTAGCTATTATAAATTTGTTTTTTCTTCTCCTCTCCATTCGTAAATACTCACTGGCTAAGTAAAAGCAAAAACAGTAATAGTAATTATAATTGTCCGGACTCACAACGGTCCCTAAACATTGAAGTCTACGATTGGAGGCGGATGTAGAGATGTATAATGTATGAAATGCGAATGGATGGGAAATTGAGAAATGAGAAGTTGGAGAATATAATAGCATGTATCAAGAAGGAAAATAGAGAAGCTCCTACAATTGTGATCACTTTATTAGTTATGTCTATGACCCACACAACAATCACAGGGCCCAGACTGGCCTAGACTATCTAGGACTCAGACTCAAATTGCCAGGCTGCCTGATGTTGTTGTTCACCTTTGTTGAGTGGAACTTTAATTGGGGAATGAAATGAAAACCGTACCATTTTTCTGCGGGGTGGTGTCCTACAACTCGCAACGATTTCACTCTCAGCATGTGTAGACATTTGCAAGCTTTTCAGGCAAAGATTGTAGGTGTGAAGCACAAGTTTCTTAAATAATAAATTTTGAATGCATAATTAATAAGGTGCAGTTAAACATAAAATGACTACCTAGCACTAACCTTCACTTGCATCAAGATTTCAATAGTTCTGGGAAACACACCAAAATCATTGTGGTCTCGAGGGAGGTAAAAGCGGCCCAAAAGAATCATCCGATAAACACCATCATACTTTAAGTCCATTGCATACGCACTACATAGAAGACCTGTGTAATTGGTGAGAACCATAATCGCATGGATAGACTAATAAAACTTTAACCAAGAACAAATCTATTGCCCATTACTAACCATGCACAAGAATACCACAGACAACTACATCTTCAGTGAATATGCCATCATCCACCATCTTATCTAGTGAGTCCTTCATTTCATTTCCTAACTTGATCAGGTCTGGTAACTTCTTACCACGGTATTTTGGTGACTTTACTTCTGTTACCAATACATTCTCCTTTCTGTTATTTATGACATAAATAGATACTGTGAGATCAGGTTTTCTTCCTCTCCCTTTTAGAGAAGGATCAAGTTTCTTTTTCCGGTTGGCAGATGATTCAAGTATATCAGTAGACCTGATAATAATGAATAATCATTAAAATCACCACTACTATGAGAATAAGACATGAATCTACAGACAACACCCACCAGTCGCAGATCAGAAATTCATTGACAAAGAAGGGAGACAAAACAGGTGCCAAAGCTTCATGAACAAATGTATCTTCTGTAACACTACGTGAGTTCCACAACGATGGTCGCTGGAGTCTGTGATCACAAAAAAGTTATTGATATAAATCTAAATAATAATTGTCCAAGAGTCATGACTAAACTCACATTGATTCAAAAAGTTCTAAAACAATATCTTCATTCACAACCACCTGTTGCTGCCACTTCCGGAGAAGCAACTTGCAATCTGCAAAAGTTCCACTTGCAGTCTGGTTGAATCAATGGGTTCAGAATTATTTAGTTTAAGAGTAAAACTGTTGGCATGAGTAACGAGACTTACATTGCTCATGGTATGACATCTCAAAAGATCATAATCTGAAAGCTGTGAAGTGACAAACTCAGTTTTGATACTATTAAATATAGTCTTCCATGATTCTCCAGCAAGTCTCTTCCAAATTCCAGTCTCATCCTCAAACAGGAAGATGTGATTTAAAGATCTACAATAAACCAAGAAAAGATGAATCAATATATTGTAAAAGATTACAAATTGAGAATCTGAAGACTTACAGAATCTCTGCTGCAGTTTCAATATTATTAGTATATGCCTTTTGAACAGAGGACTGGCGATATTTCATGAGCATCATTGTTACATTTGCATCACCAACAACCCACTGTGCATGCAAAGTCAAGTTTTGTCATTGTTATTGTAGGTTCAATATGAGTATGAGATGATTGTTTAAATATTACCTGATGAGCATCCTTGTCTAATACCCACTCTTCATCACCAAGACCAACTAACCATTCTAATCGATCTTTTGGTTTTTTTGGTTCATTTTGGTCACTGACAACTGAATCAGTATCATCTGAGTTATCTGAATCATTCTCAGGATGGTAGGAGAAGTCACTGCTTGAGGATTTGACTGTTGCATCTTCATCAGAACTATCCTCAAACCGCAGACGTTTTTCTGATGAAATCTGTGTACTTCGATTTGATGGCACCTGCGATTAAGTGTTGTACTTAGTATTGTATAAATCACAACCTTGACAATTATCCTAATGATCTCACAATAGCCAACCAGCAGTACAAAAAACTAATTACCTTTTGACTGTCTTCAACAACAATATCTAAAGGGCATGGGCGTTTCCGCACAGAATCCTAGAGATAAGGATTGATTATAATGAGTGATTGAATTTTCTATACATTATTGGACCACACCTATTGAGAGGAACTACTATACATCTGTTTCAATGTCATTCTCATTATTTGCATTCTTCCCAAGAATTCACAAATCAAGAATCAGATGTCTGTAAGCATAAGCAGTTATATTATAGACAAAACCATTTGTACTCAACCTTATATCTAGATTGAACATCCAAGCCAATCTCTTCCTTAGATAACCGTTGTTTATAATGCTGAAGGTGGTCATTATGAATTGCTGATGATGCATCATGAAGTCGACGAAGGCCTGTTTCTTCAAAGTCTAACAAACCTTCCTCCTAGAAAAAAGAAAGTAAGCAAACTGACTGTTCCAAGATTCTTAAGATGCATGCATACCCTAATCAATTGTCGCTTGACATCAATATTATATTTTTGCTGTTGGAATTCCCAGAAAGTTTTCACCGAAAACGAGTTTCTTTCACGCTGGATGATATATTAGTAGTAGTAATAGGAATAGACATGGGCGATCATAGTAACTTGTTCAATAACATACTAATACATGGGGCACCACAGACAGGGACGCACCGGTTCCCACTGCAAAGACGCACTCTGCAGGGTAGTCTGCTAGTCATAATACAACCACAGACAGGGACGCACCGGTTCCCACTGCAAAGACGCACTCTGCAGGGTAGTCTGCTGAGTGGATTCTCACCGACAGGGACGCACCGGTTCCCACTGCAAAGACGCACTCTGCAGGGTAGTCAGTGTACTCAGGTTGTAATGACTGCCCAAAGCACTTAAACATTTACCTTAAACCGATTTATCCATTTAGAAATATTTCTACCCATTTCGGAGGCTTCAGCATAATATTTCTTGATAGTTTTCAGTTCAGAAATGTATCGGTGATGTTCTTCAGACTCATCATTCAAATCACCAGCAGAAAGGCGAAAATCCAAGAATTTTCGTAGGGACGGCTCATCGACACTTGCCCAAAAATCTATATTTTGAATTTAAAAGTTAAAACCAACAGCCTATAAACTGAACGGAAGAAAAACAACAGTCACCTGAAAAGTTTATGGAGTTGCGACATTCAGGAGAAAGCTGCATTTGAGGTATTGGATTATGTATGATGCTTTCTAAAGTAACTGTGATGCTGGAAAGAATATGAGCGTATGAAAAATGCTAATGATAACAGTTCGAGTGTGGGAGATCATAAGCGTAGAGAACGTCGAAATTAATAACAGGGTATGAAACGTACCGAAGGCACGAAAAATGCAATAGGTGCGTTGATATCGTGGACACGAAAATTGCGAGGCAATAGAGTTGAAGCAGCGCGTTCTTCACGAGCACTTCTAGCCAATAAAAAAGCATCTACAGATCCCTCTTTTTTTTTTTGCGCGTAGGGTAACAGTCAACCCTCCCCGACTGTGTGAGGGAGACTTACACAAGTCATGTGACCGTATTATTATACCTTTTTACAAAACCAACAGTAAATTTACCTCTATAGTCCCTATCACAGGACACAGCAGAACCGATAAATAGTAGATATATGGAAAATTACCTCCTTACAGTAAAATATGTGTAATGAATGTACAATTTGTATAATATAATATAATATTAATGGATCAAATACTATATTAAGGCCAGTGACCATCGACGACGCGTCTGTTTCAACTTCGATGAGTGCTTCTTAATGTTCGAGTTCCCACTTAAGCCTCATTTTTCTGCGTTTTCAGCTCCTGCGACAGCTTCGTCTTCTTAGCTGGTACGTCCTCCGTCATGACAGCTTCTTTCGTTTGTTAGAATCAGACAAATTCATAGTTGGTATGGTTATGACGGTTCTAGGTCCGTGATATATTAATGCGTGGAGAAATCAAAAGCCGATCTTCAGAAATTGGTTACAGTAACGTGACCGCATGTACGACGGCGTTGGTGTTGTTCACATGATTAAATAATCCGATTTCGTTTTAATCTGCCACAATAATTAATATTAATATGGAGTACACTCACCATTTATGCTCAATATAAATAGTCTTCTTTATTGAGTCTCTAAGAGAAAATTCTCTGAAATTTCGACCGATTGTTGTGGTATGCTACGAGGTACATGTGGATTTTGTAGATAGTTATAGATATTAGTAGTGTTCATTTTGACTGCTCTAAGTTGAGGCTATTTATTACTTTTGGTGTCGCTTCAGATGCTTCTAATATTATGGTCTTAGTATTATGCATTTACGTCATAAACCGTCATTATTTTCCACAAATATTTGACACTTCCTTGTCTGGTACAATATGCTATATTTAGAATCAATACTCAGATGTAAAGCAGTAACAATTACGCAGCTATTTAGAAAAATAAAGTTTCCGCTTTTTCGATGCAGACTATAAATAACACTACGATATACAATAACGTGCAAAAGTATCCTACCGCCTGTATCGCTCGAACGTACTTAAAATTTTCAGAAAAAAAGTTTAACACAATGCGTGATCACACGTAAAATTTCAGCTCAAACGGATGTCTCCAGCAAATTTTCCAAACATTGGATATTTGCTTCGAAAACGTATGAAAACATATGAAACCATATCAAAATTGCATTCGCTTATTTCCAACTTAAACTTCAAAAATTTATATCTCCACAAGTTTCTAATCGATTTTTATGTTCTTTTTTTTTTGTTTATCTAAGCCATTTCTACATGTTTTTGAAACATATAGTCGAATTATGAAATTATTGTTACTATAAAAGGAAACAACTGCGCATTATAGCTTTTACAATAACGTGCAAAAGTATCCTACCGGCTGTAATTCAGGACAGGAATAATCAAACATTTTGAGAGTTTCTCTGCATATAGTCTATAACAAACCCTGATTATGTGTAAAATTTCAGATCGATCAGATGTTTACAGCAAAAGTTTCAAACATCAAATATGTTAACTCGAGATATATTTATACCCATACTCAAATTTAGCATAAAAATTCAAAATTATATCTCGACCCCTTCCCAACCGAATCTTGTAAATTTTTTTTTCCATTTGTTTCCTAGCGTTCTGAATACATAACAGTAGAAGGAGAGAATTGTTATGATAATAATCGAAGAATATTATAAAAAAAGTAACTATAGAAATTTCCAGAAGTAGTAAAGAAAGTTAACAAAAAAATTGATAAACTCTTGGATAACATGGTGTCGCTATCCGACTTGATGTACTCATGCTTTTACTGTATAACGGGAATATTCTATTAAATATTCGGCAAGTTGAATTCCCTCATTTGAGAGTGTTCATAATTGGTTTGCTATCCGATTCACTGAACTCCGACGGTGATTAGTAATATTAATTATTAATGGATTCGTCGTTTAGCCTATAATATTGTATTCGTCGATGGATTACTTACCGTTCCGTTGCAATGGCATTACCGCTCGACGCCAGGCGAAGAGTATTATAACATCGTTGAACTAAGTGACAGAGTATGCTTCTCTCACTCTTTAGAAGGAATGGTTGTTTTCGGGAAAATATTCGTCTAGACCGTGATAAACGTTGAAAGCTATGGCATAGACGGCTATTATGCTTTAGTTTATAGCGCTAGTCACATGGAGCCCATCACTGAAGCGATGCTGAGAAGAACCCTCAGGATAGGCCCATCGCGTTCACACTTCTTACCTAAATGCATTAAGTGGAGTTGAAATTTTATTTGTTTAAATTTATCAGAACTTTTGCGGGTAATTCTGACTTTAAGGAAAACAATGAAGATTATTTGTATAAATTGGTTATACAATCTCACAAGCCCCAAGTCAAATTTTGGTGTAATCAATAAAGAACGCAAAACTCCAAGTCAAATTTTTGGAACAATACATATTATTACGTCTCAGACTCACTCAATTGTGAGTCGCTGGATTTCCACTGAATAGTATAGGAGGATTGTCTTGAGATTGCATGTAAACAAGCATTTTAATTTGGCCGTACAGAACGTTGACAAAGGCAAGTGTAGTTACGTAAAGCAAAAAATCGGCAATATACGGAAAATGAAATAATAACGCAAAAAGCTCTTCGGAATAAAGCAACGCAAAGCACTTCAATATATGCTACATCACGAAGCAATGATCGTAACAAAATTTGCACTGAAAGTAGTAAAATAAATTTACGTGACTTTTGTTTATTATTAGTTTTAATAGCGTAAAAAACTTCGTAGTCTGGATCTAGAAGCGGAAGAGACGAAGATCAAACTGCTGACAGAGCTTTGAACTATTCCAAGAACGGCTCAGAGAGTGTGATCGATCATTTTGCAACTCTGTAAGTCCAAAACTTTGTATTATTATTTTAGATGACTTATGTAAAATTTATGCTAAAATGAAACCCAACGTAGATTTACATTGTCAACGAGCAATTAATTATTTACTCTAGAAATTCAACAAATATTTGAGTCAGTTCTGATTCAAGACGTAGCTGTTAAAAGGTTAAATACATCATTGCTTAGCGTTTCTGAGTCTGACCTGGAAAGAAATAGACGTCCTTAATTTACGTGTATCAATAATGATGATTCAACAGTTACCCGGAGTACTCGACCTCCCTATTACAGTCACAGTTCGCAGTTACCCCATTTTGAACCTGTTGTCGTCACCAAATAATTGTGTTACATTTAACCCTTTTCTTAAATTTTAAATGTTTCACGTGTTATTATTAATACTATAATAAATACTTGTGTATAACACAATAAAGTCCAACTACGATCTCAAAAAATAAGCGTAAAATTTTGTGAAGATGCTGGACAATATCCGATCGTAAAGCATAGCGATGTGGCAATTTATTTCAATGAGAGGTTCGACTGTTAGCAAAAATATTATTTAGAAAGAAAAATAGTTTACAAACAAACAGACGTCTAGCATGCTTTTGTTAAATATCCCAAGTTAGATAAATAATACAGTCACATGACTAATGTTCTATACAGTCACACTCACAGTCAGACGGGCAATTATGAAATGACGTAACAAACTTGTGATTCAGCTGCGGATATTACGTAAACAAAAAAAATCAATAAAACCCCCCGTGTAAACAAAAAACGCGCTTTACGCTTTTTACTCTTTTGACAAGATAATAAGCGGCTTCTAACTTTACAATGGCTTACAGCTACAGCGCTCAAACTATTATCTCCGTTCCAAGTTTTGTTGTGGCAGCACAGCTAGCGAGGGACGGAGAACAAGCTCGAGCTATTTTCGCTTCCATTTGGAGGCGATATTTTGATACGCTGGCCGTATCGAGTTTTGTTTTATTGTGTTGTCAACTAACCGGTATTATCCCTGCTGGTCAAGGATATTACCTACCATCTGTTTTTATTCTTTTTTTTGTTTTTTTCCCATTAGGTTTGCACCTTCTATACTGCGACCGACAGCAGCGCCGCGAACGCGAAGAGTATATGAGGCGGCTTGAAGATTTTCAGCGCTGGCGAGACCTGCCGAGGTGGAATAACAGAAGACAACGCTCGCCTTGGTATCAACAGTGGCAACAGATGCGCCGGGAAGAAAGGGCAAACAGGTTACAGGTGACTGCTGATTGGTTAGCGGATGAGGCTCATACCGCTTCTCGCATCTTTTATCAACGGTGTCGTGCAATGCCGGGTTTGAGCCTCTATGCACGCCCTGACATTACTCCATCGTGGGTTACAAGGGCAGCTAATTCAATGAGTAGAATACAGCCTAGGAACCTGCCAAGTAAATAAACAAAATAAGAATGATTTCTGTATTTGTAATATTATTTTGACTAAAAGTAATGTTTTGTTTTAAATAGGGGCATCCATTTTTCTGCCACTGACAGTCGCTTACCCACCTAGAAGACCAGGGCGAAGAAGCGCTGTAGTTCGGGGGCCTCAAGGTAAATAAACAAAATAAAAACTAAATCTGTTTATTGATAATAAATTTTGACTAACGTTTTCTTTTTTCTGAAATAGTACCTCAACCACCGCCGCCATTGGACTCTTCTGCCCAGCAACTTATGATCGACACGTAAGTTTTGACAGCAGTGTCTTGTATCATAAGTTAGACGTTTAACTCTATTCGTTTTTATATTAAGAATGACTGTGGCCAGTTTTCTTCAGCCACGACGTAACCCACCTCGAGCCGCAAGACCACCAACAATGCAGTAAGTTTCGTTCAATTACGTTATAATTATTACAATAGATATTTAATTGTATTAATATTTGGTTTGAAAAGGGCAAACACAGCGCAACCTCCGCAACCAGTCGCAAGATCACGCGGAAGGCAGTAAGTTTTGTTCGATAACATTATATTTATTATTGTGGTTATTTAATTGTATTAATATTTGATTTAAAGGATACAAACCCCTCTACGACGCAACCCGCCTCGAGCCGCAAGGCCGCGATGGGGCTCGTAAACGCCATTGACAAAATTTTTACAATAAACTTAGTATTAAATTAAATTTACTAATATTAATATTATGGCTTTTGATTGAATAATGAAGTTGAATCCAGTAAATGCCGCTTTGGAAAATTTAGTTTATTGTCTATCAATATTGCACTATGTCAAACTGCGGAAAATAAAGAGCAAGCCATCTTAGCATAATAATATTAACCGTATACTTGATGATTCAATGTGTTTTGGCTCAAACGTCTGGTGGAAATCTAACAATATTTTGAGAGAAGTAAGATTATTGGGCAAATACAACTTCCCGACTACTTACAATATCAAGAACAGCCTGTGTGTTAGCATAATAAAGGAAAAGGCTGTAATTCCTAACCCTCGTAGCGGGAGACCACTTCTTGAAAGCAATCGATAAACGCCATTTGATAAATTCTTGAAAGATATAACGGAGAGTTTAACACATTAGGTTTACTGGGTTAAGTACAATTACTGCAAGACATGTTCTTCGACTATTACAGTTCTGATTAGAGAAAACCGCTACTTTCTGAGAGCAATAGAAAGAACGCGCTTCAAACGGTGTCAAGAAAATTGCGATGGGGATAATTTAAAGTGACGATAAGTAAACATTACGTATGGCGTAAGCCTTATAAAAATATGACATAGATTGCATATGTCCGATTGTAAAAGATGATTACAGAAAGAATATTAAAAACTGTTATTGCTTATACTTTCCAAGATGATAAGGCACCTGTACATAGAACGAAGGCTAATTAAACGTTTATGGGATATAACACAAACTCCATCCAAAAAATTATGCGGCCTGATGCAAGGTGAGTAGTTAGAAATTCTGCATAACATGCGCGTAAAGTTAGAAATACTAACAAAATAAAAACTCATATTGAGTTGATTTAAATGCTATGGATTTTATCAATGTAGCTGTCGCTAAAACTCGGTTCAAAATTTTAATTAACAGTGACAGATTACCTCACTGTAATTTAAGTCATGTTACGTTAACGTTGGCGTTATATCTCGCGGCAAACAACTATATTGATTATCCGGCACGGCGAGGCCTATACGCTTGCTTAGATTAAGGCTACGCCCGCTTTTATTATTGAAGAAGCAACTCTAACCCAGACTTTTGAACATGTCAATGGTAGAGAGTATTAATATGTAACTTTGATACAATGTCACATTAATGTTAAGGTGCTTGAGTCATCTCCGCCTATTCTACAACAAACGCAGTTGTTAGGCAACTTACCGAGCCAGAAGATAATTATGATTAAGTATCGTGAGAGGATGACGTAATCTGTATTATTACAAAGCCGAAGACAATAGCTATTGTTAAGATAATATTACTTGTTTAACGAAAACTCACCTAACAATTACTAATTACTCGTTACTTAACTGGTCGACTTTACATCGCGGTGGCGTATGAAAATCACGATTTAAGTTGAATGATTAACAAAAATTGATGTGGCGCCGTGGAAAGAAAAATAATCCACAACGCATAAGTTGATAGGAAACGATGATAGCAAAAAATGAAGTTGAGGAACAGAGCAAAAAGCAGTGAAATTTAGATATGCGCAGAGTAACCCACGAGACGTCCTTTTTGGATTCATACATTTTCGCAATCCGTGCGTTATTTTGGTTTTGGCATTACTATTGTAAGTTATTACGCTCATTTATTAAAAAAAATCTACACATGTTTTGCATCCGTTCTGAGCTTTGGAGATTCATCCATTAACCCCTTGACCCAACAAAATACATAATTTATGTGATAACATCGATATCCTCAGAACGGGACAAATCCCAGAATGGGTCACAACAATGAACACAAATGACATTTAGAGTTTAAAAAAACCGAGTAACATAGAATTACGTAGGGCATTTCCCAATTTCAACGTTGGTTATTTTCATGTCACAAATTTGTTTGGAATTGAATAACTTTATTCACACGTCATACAATATCGATATTCCCATCGACTATTTATAAATTATAGTTTATTAATTATTATACAAGTATTAACATTAAAGTCTACACCGAGGTAATTTGTACGACAGCATCTCCGTGCACAGGACTCGCCGTCACTTCAGATTTACTGTTCCCTCGTAACACTTCTATCCATCCGCGGAATGTGGATTTTTTAGCAGCAAGTATTATAAAAATAAATATGCCAACACAACGCTTTATTAGCAGTAACCATATTATTAGGGAAAACTTTGGAAAGTATGGGGCGGAGATCGAAGAGCACGAAGTTTGGGTGCCGGTTTCGAGACATTGAAGCCATCCTTCAAACCATTGAGCTTTGAAATCTGGTAATTTGTATTTAAAGGTGAAAAAAGTCTGCAAATTGCGAGGTTAGGATGTTAGTTGCCGTAAAAAATTACTATATATAATAAATTAGTTATACACATGTTAACTTACCCAAGCAGTAGTATAAACGGTGACCATTAAGAAAGCCCCTGCTAGAGCGCGCCATTGGAGCCTAACCATTTCTCTTGCATATATCAATGTTCTTTGAGATTCATTAACCAATGCTCGCTGTGCTATATTTGATTCTTTTGAATCCTCGTCCCAGACTTTCAAGGTAACCTAGTAAAGCCAAAAAATTTTTAATCTTTTTGTATTTGAATAACAAGAGTAACCAAAGTTAAGGCTCTGTGATTGGTCATTGGATTCTCGCATTCATTCCGTTACTTACATTTGCAATATAAATAACCGTGGCCACATGCACAGCAAATGCAACGTAAATAAAGCTCAACGGAAAATAGAACATTGGGCTTGCTTCAGGCGTAATAAAACATATGTTTCCACTTGCAACGTGGTGTGTAACTATTGGAATTATCGTAGCAAGTATGGAGATGGACCAGATCGCTATGTGAAAACTCCTTATATGAACTATTATAAATTTGCTGCGCCAGACCGAAAGCTTTAACAATTCATGAAGGTAAAGATTTAGTTGGCGTGAGAAACCATAACTCGACAATGTCAACATTCGCCGTGCATTGTTACTTACGAAATGAAGATGCACGATTACCAGAGCCGACCAACACGCAAGCGCGTACGCCCCGCCGAGAGCCAAGAATGCTATAACAAATCATGACAGTTAGTATCAATTATTATCATTATAATGTTCATAATAACGCAAAATGTAGACATTACATTGAATTAAGCAAAGCCTGTTATCGCTTATTGTTGCTTGCTGAATCGGGTTTACGCACTAAAATGAACAAGGTTTTTCGATCCCGTTAAAAAACCATTCCCGTGTATAGGGGTGTCCGTATTACGTTATGTTACCGATCCCCGGATTAACTAATTAATACACTGCGCGGGGTAAATGAAATGGTTACACATACCTGACTACGTTTCTGCTGAATTGTGAAAAAATCAGTAGCGCTAAAAAGAAGCACACTGAATGCAAAAGGAATAAGAACTTTTCTGGTAGTCAAGTTGGCATTCAAGCTGGGCAAGAATACGTAACTTGCTATTAGAAATACCATTAGAAAGAACGATACTAATCCCAGGATGCTGAATACTGTATACGCGGTATTTAAGTAAGAGGATGGATAGAAATTATCGGCAATGGGACATGGTAAACAGCATCCGTTTGGTAAACAGGTGGGAATGTGTGAAGTCGGTATAGATGTTGGATTATAAATTAGAGGATGTGGACAAGAAAAATTTTTTTGCGAGACTGCGGAAGTTACGTTTGTCGTAACTAATATTATGGTAATTTTTGATATCGTTCGTAGCGATGTCGTGTTCGAAATCATTGTTGATGTGATGTAATGTAATGCAATGTACTTCAGAGGATTACCTATAATGTTCGATCAGCAATATATTGCCGTAAATATTCTATCAGAGAATATTAAAACTATATAGTTATCTTTCGAGCTATTTTCGTTTTCTTCTGACTTGTCAACAAACAGAATGAAACGATTATTCAGGGAAAGTAGAGTAAAAGGCGCTTTTGATGCTTTCTGAATCAGACTTATTTTTCGTGCAACTGGAGATTTTTGTCACGCTTAGATTGCGGGAAGGCGAAATGGTTACGCCGTGACGTTAAACGGAGATGTACCGAAACGAGGAAAAAAGCATTCTCCCTAATAATCATCAAATCCGATGTTAGTCTGTTGTATGAAATTTACCATGATGCATATACGAACTTAATCACATAATAATCCTGCAGTTAGAATTTGTACTTGCCGGAGAAGATAAGCGCGAACAATTTTAAATTTTTCCATTTTTATCTTAGAACATTCCATTTCAGTGTTCTGATTACCATTCGATCCCGAAAGCTTTTGTGCAAAACTAGGTTATTAATCATGTACTACAATGAGTTTATTTCTATAGAGGGATAGATATCCGAAGCAGAAAAACGCTATCAATATTCGCTTCTGTTTAATGAGATATAGCCCGGGGGTTCAGATAATGATCGTCTTGTGGTTCTTGGCAATATTTATAAATCGATGCATTCGCTTTTCTTGTACAACTATGCCTATTAGTACCATATACACGTTCTCGTTATTTGTCCTCAGCTCACATTAATAAAGCTTTTTATCATAACAAAGCGAGTGTCGTAAGCAAAAACTTAATAATAAAAAAATATATAGTTGAAATAGGTATTTGTTCGATTGGTTAGCTTTTTATTGTTATTGTGATATTTCCTTAGCCGTGCATCTCCGATGAGGGACACACTAGTATTTTGCTTCTAAGCTAATTTAGATGATGTTCAATACATAAGTGCGGGGTCAACTGTGATAATTGGTGCGCTTACTCTGCATTGTGAGAATCTTTTGTCACATGGTACAAATGAGGGACTGAAACTCCCACGAAAAATTTTAGGTTTGAAAAACTGCCATAGCCTTTCAAATTAGGAAAAATTAAACCGAACATAAGTGATATTCTTTCTCCAAAAAAAGATTGGGTTGCATTTGTTTAAAATAGTAATGAACAACCTTAATATGATTACATGAAGAAACATGATCAAATCCAAACCAATAAATGGAGGTATTTGGCCACTGGACGCAGAATTTTAAAAGCATGGTTTTTGAAAAATATATTGTTTCGGTTTTTGAGACTTTATTTGATTAGTTACTACACTCTCTCTGTAAAATCCCTTTTTTTTTTCGTCTTCGCTCAAGAATAGCAACTATTTGAGAACAGTTCAATGCAAGTGGTAGAGAAACGGTGCTGTTCAAAGTAGCAATTACACTCTAATACGGAACGTACATAATTGAAATTTTGTGTATAGCATAAAATTTAGCTCGACTTGTTGTTTTATTCGTCTCTTATCGGCATATTAATATTAATATCGTTTATCCATGTGTTTTGTATAGATCTGCTTGTTCGCTTACCAAATTAGTCTTTTGAGATGGGGAAGGATATTCTTAATACACTTGGCAATAAACGCGCTTTGTGATATCCAATCAGCATAATTATGCTTAATTATTTATGTTTTATAACAGCATATTGTACAGTACTGTTGCTCAAAAATTACGTAACGCATTATGGAATTGTTGAAAAGCAAAACATTACAGAATTTAATTAGAAAAGTGTCGAAATATAAAATTTTAAAAAATTTATAGTCGAAATCGCGCATATGCGGCATCTCGAAAGTAAAAACATTTGACAGAAATGACGGAGACATCCAACCGAGCCGAAATTCAGCGCCAGTAAACGACCTAGTCAGTGGTTTTTATTTTTAAACGCAATAAAATGATTGGATGCGTTGTTTGAAGAAATATTATTTATTCATCCAATAGATAAGTCTTTTTTACCCTTTCTTTTAATAGCAGACGTTACTTCTATGGTTTGTTTATTTTATTAATCCTCGTATGATACTAAACTTGAATACATCTTTAACAATAAACTCCCCTAATGTTGTGTTACATGCGCATATGGGGTGCAGCAGCGATAATGAAATTTATTAAACGATATTTTAATTTAAATTCAATTACCACTCATACTATTGTATTGGTACAATTTTGACTACATTAAAAAATTCCAACATATGCATTGCACTTCAAGGAATATTCTGCCAGCACACCAATATAATAGTCGATCTATTATCGGCGTGTGTAACAGTTCCACATGATTTACTTTTTTTAATTAATATTGCATTTTATGGTCCGTAATCCGGTATTGAGCGCGGAGACTTTTCAAACTAGTTATTATTATTATTATTATGGCTTTATCTGAAAAAGGAAGCCAAAAAACCCAACAGCTGCGTTGCTGTACATTCTAACTAGTCGATTGATTGAAAATAAAACTTGAGTTGTTTTCAAACTTATGCGCAATTTGTTGCGTCAATATAATCCAAGCATTCTCTGAGTCTTATGAAAGACTCTCTCTTTAAGCTAGAGTTGTAGAATTATTAATGCGTTTGCTATATTAAGTCTAGTACATGTACTCAATTTAGTGCAGTTTTCAATTAGTAATTAGAAAGTAATTTTCCAATAGACTCACCCAAAAAATTGCAGAATGTAACTAAGCGTATACGATTGACTTAACAATTTCAGAATCGAAACCTCTTTTTTTTCTCAGAGTAAACTTTGTTTAGTGATTTAGGAATAATAAAATGCTAATAATATTATTATTGGGTGCCAAGTTAGTTGCAAAGCAAGCGTGCTGTCAGAAAAGTACGAAAGGTCGTGTGCACAAACTGTTTCAGATGATGACCAAGTTTTAAAAGTCTTGGAACTACTTTTTTTTTTCCTCAGAAATTAGCTGCCTTGAAGCTATGCTAGTTGCAACCGAATTTAACTTGAATATATGTTGACGTGAAACATTTCACTAGCAGTACCAAATTTAGTATGATAGTCAATCGGATATACCCAATTATATCAATATTAATTAATCAAAATGAGTAGACTACTTCACTTTTTCGCTTCCAGTAATTGCTTCACGCTCCCTTACATCGATTCTTTGAGAGGGTATTCCATTTCTCAACAATAACATAATTTTGATATTTTTCCTCACTCAAACCGTTCTTTAACAGTGGTCCAGAAACAAATTCAGTAGAGTTGAAGTCAGTCAATAACTTTGGGAACATTATAATTCAGCCCGGAGCGGCTAGTAATTTACTTGTAATAAATAAGCAATTGGTATAAAAGTATATCACTTTATAATATTAGTATAAATGTTTATGTCTAAATTTACAAAACAAGCTTGATCTAATTAGATATTTATGTTATATACGCAAAAACTCTGTACACAAAGATAAGCTAACTCCAAAAGCTTGCGGTAATGATGAGTGTGTTTGCAATTAGATTTGATTATGGTAGTATGGGCTGTCTCCTGCCTCTAATTTTGTTACTTAACATTTCTGCCCACTCGTAAAATATAGCTTTTTTAGCAGCCAATAATAGAAATATGAATATTCCAACACAGCGGTTGGTGAACAACAGGATTACTAGTAGGAAAAACGATGGAAAGTGTGGGGCAGAGATCGAAGAACATGAAGTTTGAGTACCAGTTTCGAGGCATTGAACCCATTCTTCAAACCACGGATCTCCAAGATTTGGTACATTGTTTTTAAAGGTGTAAAAAACCTACAGAGTTGATAAATTAAAGATAAGCGTAAAATGAGAATGGGAATGGGAGCGAGAGAAATTAAAGTCAATTGCTACGTAAAAACACATCTCGTTGACTTACCCAGGCAGTGACGTATATAAGTAACATTAAGAATACTCCTACCAAAGCACGCCATTGGAGCCGAAATACCTTTTTAAGACTGTTGTCGACTTTCAGGTTATCGTTGGATGTAAGTCCGCGTGTCTTGTGCCTTTTATCACCATCGCCACCGGCTTTCAGAACGACCTAGGAAAATTTCCATATGAAAGCGCATGTTAGGATACAATATTATATACAGACAATTGTCAGCTATTAAAATAAAGCCATGATTTTTGACATTGACAATTTACTACTTACATTAGTTATGTATCCAAACGTAAAAACGTGTAAAATAAATGCGATGTAAATAAAACTCATTGGAATATAGTAAATTGCCCCCTTCTCAGGTGTAATAAAGCATGTATTTCCGCTCGATACGTTATTCGTGACGACCGGAAGAATCATTGCAAGTAAAGAGATAGCCCATATAATTATATGGAAACCAATTATGTGATTTGTTATGAAAGTGCTGCGCCAAACAGAGAGCTGGAGGGAAAACGTGTCATTAGCAGAACAAGATATTATTGGTAAGTATGAAAAGTTTTTCCAAACACTCACGAGGTGTAGGTGTACGAACAACAAAGATGACCAGCCAGCAAGAGCGTATGCACCGCCGAGAGCGAATAATGCTGTAGAGTATCGAATAGTAACAACAACATCTGACGTTAGCTAAAGTTGAAAGTAATACAAATAAATACAAAAGCAGAGACATGACATTACATTGAATCAAGCATAGTTTGTTATTAGAAATTGTTGCTTGTTGGACCGGGTTTACGCACTGGAATAACAATGCAAAGATTCGGGTTATTTCAATAAATCTTATTTCCGACTACCTAATACCTCTATCTGTTTCGCTTTACCCTATCGTTACACATACCTGAGTTCTTTCCTGATGAACAGTGAAAAAATCGGTAGCACTGAAAACTATCACACTCAATGCAAACGGTATAAGAATCTTCTTGGTAGTTACGCTGTCATGTAAACTGGGCAAGTACATGTAACTTGCTATTAAGAACACCATCAGAACGGTCGCTAATATTCCCAAGATTCCGAATGTCATGAACGCGTTATGTAATTGAGAGGACGGATAAAAGTTGTTGGCGATGGGACATGGTAAACAACATCCGTTGGGCAGACAGGTGGGGATTTCAGAAAACGGTATAGATGTTGGATTATAGATTAAAGGATGTGGACAAGAATAATTTGATTGTGAAGCTACGGATGTTGTTTTTATTGTAATCAATATTATAAAACAGAGAACGAGTTTTGATGTCAATCGTTGTGACCCTGTTCCTGAAACCATGTTTAATGTAAGCGAATTAGTTATCTACAATAGTTTAACAACGGGTTCAGCTTGTCTATTGTGTCAATTCTAACAAAGCCTGTACAGAGAAAAGACCGAGCTTTAATGTGATAAATGCGGTTTCACAACACATGAGTGTACAGTCGATGATAATATTCTACACGTAATTCATCCCGGGATGAAATCCATGAGCCTTCCTCTCTCGGATAGCGCGGACTGCTAGGGGAAATGATTATCATCTGTAAACTCTTGTGGATGAAAACATGGTCTAGACTTAGCACCTTTAAAAAGTTACAGTAATTGGTGTGACTATAGCTAAATTTCTTCGTACATGGTATCGAAATTTTATTCTGTCCTTCGATCGAGAATTAATTAAACCGAAAACCAGAGCATGTATATGTGATCGATTGATCAACATTAACAGAGAGATTATGGTTAGATGTTCCGACAACATTCATTTCATCTTAATTAAAATGGGGCTGAGGATCGTTAACGCATTGCGTTATGTTGCGACAACCCCGTCTTTGCGTTTGTTTGATCATATCATACAAGTTTCAATGAAAAAACAAGGTTTTAACCCCGCAAATATAGAAGAAGATCGTCACTCCTATATTACACATAACTGCATAACGGTCTTAAGATAAATAAAATAAGATTTTATAACCGATTAGTGGTTTATTTTGCTGCATATGGAAAGCGAATGATTCATGACATCAATCAAAGATTTCCGTACGTAAGGAGTGTCCGTCACATGTTAACAATGTCATGCGAGGAGTGTTCACGTGCTTTCTTTTTACGGCAAGATAAATGTATAGCCAAAAAAATCGCAAAAGCATATTTGAGCATAATATTTCAATAACTATTACACAATCATGTTGAGCACGATCAGTAATGAGTCTTAATATCAATTCACATGTTCATGCGACACGCTTTTGAGGCGCCAAGATTCATAACGCTAATTGAATATTTTATGAATTTGTATCCTGTACTTCCACAAGATTATGATGAGAGAAATATGGAATTATTGTTCTATAAATGTTTAACATTAACATGGAGGAATAGTATCCTTTTACTATTCAGCGAAGTGGGCCAATTGGTACGTTGTCTGACTAGACATATAAATAATGCTGCGAAAAACCCCGTCAAGTCGGTAATTTGCGGGAGTGTGAGTATCATCCCAAACGTGAAACAAATATTCATCATCAGAGAAACGATACACTGATGTCGAAAATACCGCCGAGAAACTTCTGTTCGATAATAAAGCCCTTAAGCATTCGCCATAAGTGTTTCTAAGCGAAAGATCTTATTTTAATTTATAATCTTGTTCTTGTCGAACAATACATCCGTACATGAGTGTTACACAATAAAGGAAAAACAAACTCACGGAATTGACTAATTAAGCATCCACAACAAATCATGCGCCATCAGCTTGAGCAAGAATCACTCTCGCCGGGTTCATTATCAGATTTGTGTCGGGTCGCCTAATCATTGGAAACAAACAATATTCCACACGGGCATGATCCAATTCCTCGTCCGTAGCCCCAACGGCCACCATACTCCTGTCGTCAAATTCGGCTCCTTTCGGAAGCCAAACTAATTCTGCTTCAGGTTCAGTCGCCCTCAATTTGAAGTAAAACAATGACGTGCACAATCGGATAATGTTTGCCGCGCAATTTTCCGAGTCGGCGACCACATCCCTTGGCAGTTCTCGAGCCTTATTCATGCCCTGCATCAAATATATAATAGTGTCCTTGACAAATGGATGTTCTCTGTCCGTAAAGGAGTGTATGGCGAGCACGGCGTATACCAGTTGTCTGATTTTGACCGCCGTTAAATTTCTGACTTTGTTAACATCATTATGCACTTTGAGAAACCGATCGACCCTTTCCGTCAATTGATTGGTTAAAGAAACAATCTCGTGTTCTAACTTGTGATCGGGATTCTCGTACGAGACAAAGCGAGTTATGTCACGTGATAGATATTTCGTTAGTTCTGAAGAGATAAATTTAATAACATCTCCCTGAACAGCGTTAGAGAACTGATTCTTAGCCCTTACTCGGTTTTTGGCCTTTGCGATTTCCCATATTGATAGCATTTTATTGAGAGTCTGCTCATTGACTATTACTGGCTTTGTGAATTTACAAAATTGCCTAAGTGATGCGATCAGAGACATCGTGTCTGACGGTATTTGAGAGATACCCGTGGTGGCATCGTCATTCACGTTAAGCGTATCGCCTAATATTGCTTGATATTCTAATGCTTCGCCTCGCCATTTCTTTATTTTTTTGTCTTTTATTTGTAGCTTTGTGGTCAAACTAGAGATTTTTTCATTCATTTCTTTTTGTTTTTGCAATAGGCATTCGTTTTCTCTCCGAAAATTAATGGTTTGGGATTGTAAGACGGAACTTTCGTCTCGAACTTTTCTCAACCGTTCTTCTAAGTTGCGCTTCGCCTTTGCCTGCTGTTCTTCGCTCGTGCATTTCTGTTTTAATTCCTTAATCAAGTCCTCATTCTTCGCTTTGGTTTCGAGATTTTCTTGAAGAATTTTTTCAATTTTCGCTTTAATTTCGACAATTTCATTTTCCTTTTCTGTTTTTAGTTGTTCAAGATCTTCATTATTTTTTTCGAGTCTCGTTCGTTCTTGTTCACTTTCTTCTAATTTTTCTTCACAATCTCTTAATCTGTCTTCACAATCTCGTAATTTTTCTTTACGGAATAGTCTGCTGATGAAATTGAATTTATACATTTAGATGGGTTGGACAGTTTTTGCAGCAAGTTAATTTTATATGTGCTTGGAAGATTCCCAATTCGGTGCTAGTATATGACATGCGTAGGCGTGGGAAATACCACGTTGACGTGTTTTTATTTTTTGTTGTGTGCGTCATATTTCTGTCATACTTTTCGTCGACTTTGCTACCCATCGCAATAGAAAATGTAAGATTACAATAATTATATCGGCCACCAGTATAGATATGAATGTAATTGCAGCTAATATATCAAGCGGGGGCGGACGGAATGCTACGTAAGAATAAAAGAATAAAGACAATGTACATTTAGTTATTATTACGCTTCTGCTTATCCGTAAGCATCAAATTACTCACCCAAACTCAAGATAGAAAAGACCGAACCCAATATATCAAGGGCCACGAATCCTAGAGATATTCCATGAACTATTCGGTCCTCTGGATGGAACAGGAATTATTTCGATCAACAGATAATAGATATGAAAGAATGTCTGTCACATACTTACGATATATTTCATAGTACTGAGGTGCAAATCCAATCACAATCGTAACACTTGGCAGAATGCCAAATGTCGTTTCAACCCACGTTATTCCTTTATCGTTAGCAGCCTTTTATAACGAACAAGCAACGGGATATTTGTCTGATTCAAACAGATCACGAATAACATAATTTACTCCCATCCCTTCTTTAAAACACTTACTCTTACTCCTATGACTCCGGCTGCTTGTATTCCTCCTAGAATCAACATCCATATAAGGTATATAAATACGTACTTTAATATTCTCTTTGGACTCCCATTGTCGTAGGCTGCTTTATCATAGTACAAACATTGGACATAGCAGAGCAGTGAAAATCCACAGAATATTTGCGGTTGTATTATCAGAGGTATCGATAGAGAGAGAATAATTGCATATGCTCCAAAGAGTATGGCAGAGAGCGCCTAGCTGGGCGTGTGAATAACAATACGGTAAACATTATGCATAAACGTTGTGCGTTCCTGCGATAATCGTAACCATACTAACCCATATGAGCATCATCTCTTTTGACAATCCTTCCAGAAATAATTAACAAATGACATCAATATTGATTAATTTTGATCACAATACTGCTGAGGAGTGGTTGTTTACCTTCTGTATTCTTTCGTCGCCAATTTTTGTATGCTATTAATATTAAAAAGAATATCAGTTTGTATCACATGATTTGGCACTTGTTGAAAAACTGAATTATTCGCATACTCGTTAATCACAACCCATTAATGCAAATAATCTAGGTTTCCATTTACTAACCTTGCGGCGTCAATTGAAATGAAAAGAATACGATTCCAAGCATTCCGAATACATTTTCCAGTAAATGCATACTGTTGGGTTATATTAAAATGGCTTTATGGATGAATTGTTCCATTAGCATCCCGGTAGTCCATCTTTTATATGTGCGTTATCATCGAATCACCGAATCACCAAAGTCACACTGCCTGGAATATGATGTCATTTTGAACAAACGTCGGCACTAATCTTGTTACAAAATGTCACATTACTATTACACAGAAATCGATTGTAAACTAAATCTCGAATGTAGGTTTATGCCAAAATCGGACGTAAACCCGACGATCATTATTCCACACGAAAATATTTTTGCTTTATATGTGCCATCTCGGACTGACGTTTATGATGATCACAGGCTTTCTTTTTTTCAGACTAATTAATTGTCGATCTTATAAAATAAACAAATTCTTTCTTCTTTTACAATAAAAGACCCTATCAAAGATGCTCGAGATCCCAAAGTTATCCGCTTGACACTTTTAATTATACGAGAATTTGTAACTTGAGCCGTTACGCCATTATTTTTTCAAAATATGCCTTTATTGCGTAATTTCGAATTTCTCGAATTTGATTAGTAACAAATAGCTTAATTATTTAGGACAAGGGAAATTAGTATCAAGCAATACTAATACGGATTTTGTCAAATGTGAATGACATCTGATAGCCGGTTCGACACACCAGGAACGCACATTCCATATTAATATATAACATGAGCATGCCCTCAGCAAACTTTAAATAGGCAGAAATAGGGAGAGGTCTTTTTTGCAGACGTGAAGTATGAAACTTTTAAGTTAAATTTTTCAAAAAATCAAAAGTCGGGTATTGTTTTCTTTTTCGATAAGCATCTATTGCAATTGACAGAGGGTGCTTTCTTCCGTTACAACACAATCGATGATTACAAGCGAGCAAACGATAGAGAACGTTCGGAAATCGAGGCATATAGTCCTTAGCTCTCATATTATTTACGTTACGCAATAATCTACATCAACTATGAACCGAAAATTAAATATTACACTGATCAATGCACTTTCATTCTACTTTTCCATATCAATTATCTCAATCTCGCTGCCAGTACCAAAGGGTTCTCCAACAAGTTCTTCCAGCTCTGCGAGAATCTCGCTATAGTCGCCCCAAAAATGACTCGGTGATCGGCACTAAAACTCACTCTAGCAATTCTCTTGCCGGCAATCTTCTCAACGAGTCTCCCCTGTTCTTCTATCATCTCGAATCTAGGTACACGCTGAATTCTACCAATAGCACTTATACACACTTCTCCAGAGACAACAACTGGGCTTAGATAAGTTCCGCCAATAATACCAACATTAGACAAAGTAATGGTACCATCTTTGAAATCGCTCACAGGGATAGCATTCCTTTTACCAAGATCTTGTAACCTGTGTAATTCTCCAGCAATCTCAAATATGCTCTTCCTCTGTACCGATTTAATATTCGGCACAATCAACCCGTTCGGCGTATCCATTGCAATTCCCACATTATGCTCGCTCCTATACCTCAACCTCACTCTTCCAACATCCGTTCTGTCCCTTATTGCATCTTCACTTCCTCCAATTATAGTTTCATTTTCATCAACCACAACTACAGAAGAATTTAATATAGGAAATTCTTCCAGTGCCATTGAGAATGACTTAATGAAAATCGGCATAAACGTAATTTTCGAAAACGCGTATTTTTCTTTATGACGAGATATCTCGGCATTCAAGCTGTCTCGGAATGCAAATACCGAGTCGAGAATGTACTCGTCTGAATAACCGAAATGAGGAATGGCAAGAGATTTGGTCATCGCTTTGAACATCGAGCTTTGAATTTTGCTTAACGGGTTCAGAGTATCTGTCATCGCTGTTGAAGAAATAGGAGAGAATGAAGTGGCTGTAGGACGAATCATCGAAGGGGGAAGGATAGAGTTATTGGGAGTAGAATAAGAAAGTGGCTATTCAACAACGACTGCATTATAGTATCGCAAAATCGACTCACGTTCAGCTATTCCCTCGTCGCTTCTCTTCCTTACAAAAACTGTTACATCTTCCTTCATTATACGGCCTGCCTTCCCCGATCCCTTTATCAATCGCAGGTCAATCTGATGTTCCCTTGCTAACCTTCTCACTGCCGGTGTTGCTAACGTCAACACACTCGCAACATCTTTATTTTCTGGAGCGATTTCTTTGAGGGCTTTGACGGTTAGTACGTCTTCAACAACGCTATCTTGATCCAAACTCGCTGACAATGGTTCGGTCGGACTTCCTTCTCGTCCTATCTCTGGATCAGCCTCTTCCACTTCAGTAAGACCAACTTCTTCTTCCAATTCGATGTCTGCGATGGGCAATCCAACTTTGGCCATATCTCCAACCTTATAATGAAGCTTCTTCACAGTGCCGGTATATCGTGATGTTATCTCAACAGACGCTTTGTCCGACTGAACCTCGCATATTTTCTCGAATTCGGATACTCGGCTGCCGGGCTCAACAAACCTGACAACAGATCGAGAAAAAAATTTTTAATTAAAAGAATTTCATATCAGAATTCACTCTTCGCTTAACCGTTTCCCACTCATGTGCCATTTATGACCTCTTTTTCTGCTAATCCTCACCATTGCACAACCTCGCATTCAGTTATCCCTTCGCCGACATCAGCTAATAAAAACGACTTGACGACATCGCGTGCTTCCGTTGCATGGAACTCACGAACAGCAATCTGACTAGGAATAGAATTCCGCTGTAGATTTGAATATCAATGAATTGAACATGAAAGATGGAAAAGGAGCATAGTACGAAGAGGCTGGGACTTACTGGTGTGCGCTGGAAATGATAAGAGAGAGGGCAGGAGAGGATCGAAGAGAAGAGAAAAGAAGACTGGGGGAGACAGGTGCGGAGATGAGTTATGATTCGTACATACCACATTCGCTGCCCGCTTTTATTTCCCGACCAACAATTAACCACCTATAGAAATGACTTACGTTTGATCTTATCCATGTTTTCGTCGCTGCTGCTCCACTTAGTGGTCTATTTCGGCAGCCAGTCCTCAAAATTTGGCCCGCTATCCTTATGAACATTCTTGACAACGAGTCAGCTGCCGTGGGAAATTGAATGACGCATTCTTTTTAATCGTTATGTGCATAATAAATGAGAATTTGCATTGTGAGTGAAGCTCATTCTAACCACAAGAACAGTCTTACCTACTCCTTGTCACATGATTTCAGGGGTGTGAATTAATGACTGATATTGTTCAACTTTTAAGGCATGTTAGAATTTGTATATCGCGCAACCGAAAAGAATAATGAAAATTTTATTACAATCAGTAGTTTGCAAAAATCGGATTAAACAGCATAAAACCATTGTAAAAAAGAGTTTAAAGTGGTTAGATTGAAACAGATAGACGTTGACATTGGAACCAATGCTTATAGTTCGTAGTAGCTTGACATACCGTATAAAACATCTTTATTAAATTTTCACATATGGTAATAATGATAGTAAATGCAAAGAATAAATTAATTTATTTAATTAATAAAGGAAAAGGCCACTTTATCTAGTATTATTAATCTATCACTGGTGATCATAGCAGGCCATTAACATTTCTAGTTATTCTAATTAAAACTTAAACACCTTCCCCAACTCTTTTCCCAATTTGGTCTTTGGCTTATACGATGAACCAGCTGAAGGCTTCTGCACGTGGCCAAAGCTAGCATTGGCAGGTGGTGGGTATTGTTGATTATGGTTTCCTTGATATCCACCATACGCGCCTCCTGTTCCACCGTGATTCGCATACCCTGATGCGCCATACCCCTGTTGGGATGGTAAACCAGAAAATGATTTAGGCGATGCTCCGTAAGCGGAAGAAACGGGAGGTTGATTGGAGTAAGGTGTGGGAGCAGAATTCGGTGGGCGTTGTGGGAGAGGTGGTGCTAACGTAGGGGGTTGGACCGATGCTGAAGGGCGGGGGGGCCGTCGCAGCAATTTTAGATCGTCTACAAATTTCGTGGGCGTAATTATGTGTGTTGATCCTGGTAAAATGACAATGAGTAAGCAATCAAGGCAAAAAAAAAAAAAAAGACGCATGAGAACAGAATGAAAATGCGCATTAATGCTTGTTACATGCCCACCTATGATTACATCTTTATTATGTTTCTCCGATAACTCATAAGCACTGCGCAATTCAGAGTACGTTACACCTCCCGCCACGAAAACTATTAAGCGACTTGCACGCGTTTCGCTCTAAAGAAAATTCAGCGTTATATTAGAATACAACTCCTGTCAACAAGATAATAAATATCATTACAAACTTACAGGGGCTCCGCGTTTATACCACTCGGCACGCGTGCTGTAACAAATTATAAATGAGTTAAATTATCACAAAAATAGACATTTATTTTCTGCTCACTATCTAACCTTCTTAGTGAAACAGGCTGGACGGGTACAGCCCGACCTCTTGATTCTCCGTCCCCAGATGGGTCTCGGGCGTATGGAAATTGTGTAACATCAAGCGTGCCTTTGATATGGTTCTGAATAAAAGAGGAGAGGGAAGATGAATAACAGCTCTAAGCCATAGGATGCTTTATTATGAACGATCATTCAATGCTCGACAATACCTCCAGGTGAATTTTTAGTTGTGGTACGTAGCGCGAAATGTCGTATGCGCCTTCGTTGTTCACTTTTTGTTTAGATTTCTTACTCTTATCACTACCCAGCGGCGACTGAGTAGTTTAAAAAGACATGTGAATAAAAACAACCGATTAACAAAGACCGCTAACGACAAAATCATGCTATGTTGAATTGCAATTACCCGTATCAATTTGACTCCAAATAGTAAAGTATTGTTGATTGCATCATTCTCATCGTATGATATCCGCGCATGAGCAAGTAATTTGCGTCTATCTTCCTCAATAATACCGTTCTTGTACATCATATAAAGCAGAAGCATTCTCACTTTGTTATATGAACTAGTCGGTATCAAAAAAAGAAGTTAATTTGAGTATACTAACACGCAATAGACAAGTACAGCTGCACGTAGCAATTATATATTTATAATGATACTCTACCTTACAACTGGATCATCTAATAGTGGTACCATGTCTTCAACTATGGCCTTTGGGTGATGTCCATCTGGTGTAGTTCCAGTCGCACATTGCTATAAGGGATGTGAATAAATATGCTGTGTAAGCAACGTTATAACATGAGTTTGTTTGTATCACTAATACTTGCCTGTTCGATATTTGCTATTGACGCCAACTTTTGTTTGTCGAAAAGCGACATGGATTCCTGTGCCATGCCCAAATGCACAGAAAACTTCTCTTTCATGTTCTGAAATTGTGGTAAATTTGCCAACATTCTCTTCATGTCATTTAAACTCGCTGCTTTGTCTCTTTGTTAACAAAGTGACAATTGTAGGCATGGTAATAAATAAGATTCAGTAAGTACTTCATCAATGAATCGTTCACCAATAAATATCTCCTCTTCAATCTCTTTTCTCTTTCTCTTGTTTTCCGGATACATACTTATCGGCAAATCCGGCGTTTTCCCCAACAAAATCATTGAAATCTTTCATTAACTTCTCGATACAGTCTTTCATATGTTTGTGCCTTATTTCAACCCAAATTTGGTCCGATTCATCTAAATTAGCTTCTTTCGTTTGTGAAGAGCCATCTGGACCGGTAAACGCGTAGGAATATTTTTGACCATTTTCCAAAGGAAGAAGGTCATTAACCATCGCTTGGTACGTAAATTCGTGCAAGAATGGCGCGTTCATATCCAGTGAACGATCGCAAATAAAGAGCACTCCTCTTGGACGAGGATTTTCTTGCATCTACAAGACGTAATGGGTGAAATAAAGTTACACCGGCATTCTACTACCAACAAAATCAATCTCTTAATTTACTACTTACACCAAATTCAGGATAATCTCGTACATATTGATCTAATTCGGACTGCACGAGCATAGCTAATTTATAACTCAAAGTCTTGGTCGGATGATCAGCCTCAAGCGACCTCTGATATCTAATCAAAGGATTCTCTCCCAACGTCACACAAACTGACACGAGTTTCTTTGCTATTTGACGTATTTCATCCTCGTAACCAAACGCTTCCTCTGGCGAGTATAGCTTGAAGAAGCTTTCCGGAGAATCAAAGGAATAAACTTGTGCTTCGATGGCTATAGGTATGAAGATCAAACAACGAAATTAAACCACGACACGGATAATAAGTAAGCACAAAATGTGTGGAGAGCACGAAAGTCAACATACCATGAAAATCAATATAAATTTCGGTACATTTTCGTATATAATTTGAAGCTGGAGACGTTTTCAGTCTCTGATACAATTTCTCATCGAGTCCTACATTCATTTTAAATCGCAATTAATGCTAGAATTCAAACAGTTCATACCATTGTTTTGGTCAACAATTGTTAAAAAAGCTCACCAGAAGTGAAAAACAGGTGAGCCGCAGCATACAATGGTGTCTTGTGCTTAGCAAAATCTTCAATTACTTTTGTAATGACTTCGTACGAAGGAGTAAGTATATATACAGCTTCCAACGTTGGATATGGCTGGCGCGATTTTTCGAGACTTTCCACCACTTTGAAGTTGTATGAATAGGTTGAGCGTGGAAGGAAAAGACGTAAGGTCAATATCTTTGTAACCGGCGGGATGATACACAAGTAATCACGAACAGATCAAATAAAACATACAAGTGACATTCCCTTCTAAGATGTCAAACATCTTACAGGCGGACGAAATAACTTTCTGTGTTCGAGCATCAACCACTACGACCTTCCATCGTCCAGCTGGTTGGACGGATCCAATTGTATCCAGGATACCTAAATAGACAATATATAACAGATCAGGTCTGTCAAGCACCTCCTGGTGTAGCAATACTCTAACCTACGTTTTTTGAGGATTTCGTGTACGCCAACCATGCCTTCAGATTAGCAATAAATAAGTTAAAGGTTTTGCGTATTCTTCTAGATGCTCAACTGCCTGGCGTTTTAATTTTGTCCATATCATCAGGGGAAATGTCGCACGATCTGCAAATCCCATTACGTATTGCAAAGGAAACTGGGGGTCAAATTGCATTGGGAAATGAAGGATACAAATTGGGCGAAATGAAAACAAGAATTACTTATTGTTGACATCTGTTACTCAGAAAGGGAAGTAGACTGCAAGTTTCTATTTGCACCCGATTTTAAAAAAAGCAAACCCTCTCCTGAAACATGAAAACGCTACGCATTCGTATTCGCATGCAGGTGCAGCTAATAGCTTCACGACAATATTCCCACTTAGCATTTACACATAATTCGTGAAAAAAAAAATTCCTTTCATATCCGGTAAACAAAGATATATCACGCTCGCCGTTACACAGCTCAAAGGATGACACATATGTTAAGCCCACTATTTGGATAGTCGACTAATGTATTGATCGCGTTTGTCAGTTTGATAATGGAAAGTGATTTTTCTTCATGTTATGTAGCCAATGCACTTTGATGGAAACAGCTTTATTTTGAGCAATGCATCATCTTTATAAAGCAGATATACCTATAGTAAGTAACATTAACGCTTATGGTTAGGAAATCAAAAATGCAATTTTTTATCCAGAATATGTATTCGCGCCATGTAAATTTTAAAGAATTTGCACCAGGGGTTAGTATCGCACGGCCGATAACCCGAGATTACCTAGAAATGGTTCAAAAGGTTATTTGGTCCATTTGGTATAGTGTGCTATACGAGTTTACAGTTAAATAAGTCTAGTGGGCTTGAAGATATTCTCGCCACTTTAGACGAGTCTCAACTAAAGTTTCTAATTTTACAATTATTATTATATCCAATTATCATGGGAAAGAAGATCCCCGCTAATTATTTACAATATGTATATCTTCCATATTATGATAATATGCAATTTTCAAATTAAAACATTTTCGTATTATTAGTATATGTGTATTGTACACATCGTCATTTGTGAGAATACTTATTATGTACACAATACAAAACTTCCGCAACGTACGATTATATTAATACGAATACTTATTAAATTGTTCTAGCAATTGTTGAAACTAATTCGTAAATCTATTCAAAGATATTATAATTCCGATGAAGTCAGCAAGGTAAAGTGAGCATTCGAAAAAGAGTATAAACGATGAAAGCAAATTTAGCAAGTAATTCAGGTGACATCAGTAACGGATCCTTAAGAAAGCGCACCTTGAATGCTCTTCATAAAATGCCCCTTTCTCTTTATTTTGTGTCAGGTAGGTTTGGAAGCAGAGTCCGTACGGAGAAGCAATCGAATAAAGTGATTTTTACAACTAATACTAACAATATACAAATTGGAAAATTCTTTCAAATTCAAATATGTGCGCATGTAAGCATCATAACCGTTGAACTTTAATATGTGCGCATGTAGCATCATAACCGTCGAACTCAAATATGGGTTAAGTAAACGCAATCAAATTAACGGTTAGGAGTCTTCTTGAGGTACGTGCAAAAAAAAACATCGAGATTACGGTTATGACGTTGAACGCTGGCATAACGGTTTGTATGGACTATTGAGTTGTGCGAGGAACGCGCAATAGGATGAATTTAAGAAAAGCATCAGCGTAATGGACAATTAGGCGAGTGCCATTATAAAATTACAAAGTATTGATAATTAAAACCTAGAGGTTGATCCATAGTAACCGAAATTGAGAAAGAAAAGGAAGCCGAAGCTGAGAAGGAAAAGAAGAATCTTCGGCACGACAAAGCGCATGCAAAATACTCGCTTCCGTTCTTATATGCACGGTTTCAAGAATCTCCTGACGTGGAAGGAAATCTTCCTTCACCGCTTCCACTTACCTGTAGATAAACTCCTTTTTCGTTTCGTTGTAAACGAAATACGGTTTGTTTTCTGTCTTTTCCATCCGTTTTAGTAAACAAAATGTAATCTCTAGAAAACCTTTACTCTAAAAGACATTACGTTTCCTCAGAGGACTTTGTTCGTATAACTTTGATGTCCTCCAGAGAACACACTTCTCTCCAGAGGACATGTTTGTACAACTCTGAGGTACTCCTGAGAATACTTTTCTCTCTAGAGGACAACATCTGCACATGGAGGAAATCAGAGCAAATGTTTCCTGGAGAAACTTAATTGTCCTCCGTGATGACAATTTCTAACAAATGTCTCTGGAGAGAAGTGTGTTCTCCGGAGGATATAGAGTTGTACAAACAAATGTTCCCGGGAGAAACACAATTAACTGCTTAATCTGGCTTTGGGAATCAATAGTGGAGGTAAAGCGATAAAAGATTGGTATACTTGATACCTATAAAGCGAAAAGGAAAAATGAGTTGTGCGGTTACCATTATGAATTGATTTAATTTCTGATAACCTCTCGCCATAGCAAACTTTATTCATTGTCAAGGTTATTACTCTCTTCGGACGAGATCATCAAATTCAATGTGAAAGAACATATTCTCATCCGAGTATGTTTTGCAGCAACGATGCCCAACGTTATTCTTTGGTCATAGCATGTACTGTAATAGGGACCGGATTTAGCGTAACAATGCTACTTTTATTGACATAACGTTTTTGATTTTGATTTTGTTTGCCTCTTTTTTCTTCTTTAACAGCTTCAAGGCGTTGTCTTCGCGTGACAGGTATGTCTATTTTATTTGACAGTTATAGGTTTTGTAATAATAACAAGCGACAATAAAAAATTGTCATTGAAAATCCAAATCTTATAAGTATACCAATCTTTTACCTCTGTCGAAATTAGGAATCGTTGAAGAGAAACGCGAACTCGACCAAAATATTGATATTATACATTGATAACGTAATATTATTTTGAGCATCTAAAGATTGTTTTAATGGAATATGTTAACTTGACGGAATACGACAAACGATATTTGCTTTATGGGCACTTCAAAATCTGAACGACGTTAAATATGATATAGTATACGCACCGGCATCAGAAAATAAATTGAGTGCATGGCCTTTCATACGGACGCAAAACTTGCTGTTCAAAGCAGTGATCCAAAACCCTGTGGCGAACCAAGTTCTTGTTTTGATTCTGCCCAACTAAACTTTAGTGACTTGAATTGCTTTGTGACGTTTGTAAAAATAAAAATTGATATTATTAATTAATAAACACTTGGATAGGTTAATCTCCATATCTAATATGGGGCATGCTGCAACAAAACCAGACAAAGTGAACATTTTATAGATGAGAGGCTGATTATGGTGTGGCTGTAAAAAAAAATTGACCAGTGTGACTGATGACATTTTGAAAAGTAATAATGGTGCTCATTCATAACTTATGGACTTGTTAATCTTAATGTTCACTTTATCATACCAGAATGCGACAAATATAAACCATAACAGGCTTAATACGTATAGGATTATCTCTATATAAAATATTAATATGAAACTAATTTACATCAAATCGACCATGGAACCCCTATTAGAAGTATTTAAAAAAAGAGCAAGGAGAAAAAATTGCCCCTTGCATTTTAAAAAATCAACGATACCCAAACACTCCAGGGATATCTAGATTAAGAAAAAATCACTTATGAAATTTATCAAGAATAATGAACAATAGATGAATACTAAACTTGACTTACAGTATGATGAACCAAGAAAGAAACGAAACTTAACGTAAATAAATTTAATGTAAAAACTTCCCACAAGACCACCATTGATCAAGCAATTTATCAACGAAAGATTATTTCTCTTATTATTATGGTTTGATAAAAGGTACTCAAGTACATTATTAAGCTTTTACTTTGGTTCGCATTTTGCTATTTCGACACAATTGCAATCAAAAAATTAAACAATGTAAAAATAATTCAAATTTTTCGTAAGTATAAATTTTATTATTTTGAGTATGGAATGCGCGCTATTAAAAAATAAATAATAGTAAAAGTACCAGATACCAGAGTGATTGCATGGGAGGAAAATACTCAGACACAAAGCCATTTATGAGTATAATTTATTCTTTGGTCACTCTGGTGCTGATTTATTATCTTCTTCACTATTACTATACTATTATTATTACTATAATTAATTTTTTCATTTTCAGTTTCATTGTCTCCAATGGTTTACATTTTCCTTATTTTCTTCATCAATCTGACGTTGGATTGCCTCAATGGTCTTTTCCCACAGGTTGTTCTTCGAAGATAAAAATTTCTTGTTGTAGATGTAGCAATGTAAATGGTCTTTTGCTCATCAAGCAAATTATAGTTGAGATAAATAATGTTATTACTCAGTCAAAAATAATAATCTATAATACATTTCTCAGAATCAGTCAGTTAAAACTCGTTAACAAGTATAATTTCTGTTCCATCTCTCAATCTTAACACAGTACCTTTTGGTTTATTAAGATGGTTTTATAGATGGTAGTTAATGATTTTGCTTTGCAATCAGAGACAAGACAATATTTTTTTTGTATTATCCTTCTTGAATTTATCAAGCCAGGTGCACTTGCACTACATTGCATAGGAGGAGTGGCCCCCTTGAGACAAGTTAATGAAAGTAATTCATCTTTGGTCTCAGTCTTGAACCAAGAGCAATTCCAATAATTCTCATCAAATCTTCAGATCCAAATTCATAAGCCCATCTGCACACCATCTATCATAATATACTTTTCTATGCTTTAGTTCAGTAATCTTCACCAATTTCCAACATTTAAAACAAATAGCCATATGACTTTTATGGACACTGGGTCTACAATACTCATGTGTAATATCTTTTAACAAATTACTAATATTGTCATGGAATGTTGGTTACTCCTTGCCCAAATAATCCATAATAATATTTAAAATATTAAAAAAGCTTAACAAAAAATGCCAAAAGGTCACCTTTAGATAATGCCAGACAACAAGAGACAAAACTGCGGAGAAAGGAAAAATTTATCTTTTTGCACTAAACTGCTGAATTCTTTGTCTCATTCAAAAGCAATTAATTTACCTTTTTCTAATTTTTCGAGAATGGCCCGAAAGCACTCTCAACTAAGAGTTAATTTTTTCCGTTCATCTTCCTTTTTTTTTTTTTTTTTTTTGCTAACTCTTGCTCAACTTTCAGCATCTCCATTTTCGGAGGAGTGTGTTTTCAAATAAATATACTAATGGTTATTCACCTATGAAATGGAAAATGTACTAAAGATCATATATGGACTGCATCCCTTGATAGTATAAAAAATAAAAATTCATGGTGACCATATTGCACAAGACAAGCTAAGAATACTCTTGATATTGCTAAGATGGTTGCAATTAATAAGGGTGGAGATTGTATTTCAAATGAATATATGTTTGATATTATGAAACGACATATGTAGTTATTGCAGGGTATCTTAGATAATTGGGTCTTATTGAGTAAACTTAAACCTTAATTACATTTGCGTAATTCTTTTTTTTTTTTTGGTGAGTTTGGGCCAGGCGAGACATTTATTATTTTTTGTTAGCGACAGCCAAAAAATTTATTAATGCATTAAACAGACTCATCCCGTACATATGTAAATAGCCGATTTTGCTATTTACTTTAAAATTATTTGATTGGTCAAAAATTCACTCCCATATGGATCAGGTGACAAGTCGGTGAAACTCGTGTATTTTATGACGCTTTGTATTACTTTAGATTTTTGAACACCGATTGATCGTAAATAGGGATAGTTCGCCTGGGAGGAAAATTGAGTACTAAAGTGATAGGTTCGAATAATGATATAAATTTATTATATAAACGACTTTTTCCCCAGGCGGAAAAAGTAAGTCGGTTACTGCTGAAGGTAAACTGAAGTGGAACTACTTGCCTGGGGCGGCTTCACCTCTTGTAATAAAATATTCATACCCGTTATTTATTATTGAAACGTTGTATTGTTATTATTTTGTTGTTGTTTTTTTTGATACTGATGCTTTAATGTAAGAATTTTCTAGTGACTAATAAGACATGTTACGGAATAATTATTTCGTTATAAAATCATGGCGATTAATAAAAGGGCATAAGAAGTATTTTGTTATTATATTTATTCTCTGAATTGACACTTTGCATGTAAGTCTTCGCATTAATAAGACAAGTCGCAGAGTATTCGTTTATCGACGCTTTGTAGTAATATCTTGGCGATTAATAAGGGAAGCGTGAGAAGTGTCCAGTTTAGAAAGATTGCAGATCATAAGACCTTATGTTTATACAGGGCGTTCGCAATAATAAACGATGTATAACACTAAGAGTTAATATACTCGTTAAAAGGTTGATACTCGATTAATACAACAAAAAGTTATTGTGAATTTACCGTCACTGTTCTTGTAATTTATCATTTTTTGTTTAAGTTAAAATATTATTTTGTTAATGAAGGAAAATCTATGCCAAAATGTTAATAGAGTATTGGAGCCATAGAGTGTGATAGAGACACGAAGCGAAATGCGGATACTCTTGATGAAAATCCAATTGGCACATTACAGTAGAAAGAGAATATTAATGTTGAGGCTGAAACTAACTTCATTGATGAGATAATATTCACGATATGGTCCGGTGCAAAAAGATAGATACCTCGGATTATTGCGAATAAAATTTTTAAAAAAATTTTTTTCTAAAATCTGATTTTACCAATAGTTTCTTCAGGTTATCAAAAACATTTTGATATAAGTTTATTAAAAATTTACTCACTGGATTCCACGTTATCTTCAGAAAAGGATTTATCATCAGTTTCTTCATTAGATAAATATACATGCATTGTTTTCTCTATATTCTTTTGCATTGTTAATATTAAGTGCTCTTTTCCATAATCCACTATTAAAAATTTTAGACCGAGGGTACAGAAACATTATTACTGGTGATGAAACATGGATATATTTCTTTACTATTTCAAATAAGGAAGCGAACAAGTCATGGATAGAAAAGGGAGAGAACAGGCCACAAATACTCATAAATTTGTTGACAAATTGCATCCGGCCAAAGTGGCTACGCCACCCGCCACAACACGATTAGACTTTTTGTACTATGCAAAATGACTTTAATCAGTTTATCAACAAAGTATGATTTACACATATTTTTTAAAAAAGGTTTTACTCGCTATAAAGGTCATCGGACCAATCTTGTGCGTGAATTGCACGTAAGCTCAGTCAATAACTTTAGAGTTTACAGTATGATTCATCTAAAAACACTTCAGGTCGATTTGGAATATTATATTTTTCCCTGTAATTTGATAAGCGACTACGAATGTATTGACACCGAAATGATACGTTATTCGGGGATTTATGTAAAATATTCCTACGTTCGCTGTGACCGTAATAGTAACCTAATGTGTGCAACAAACGAAGAAGTTTCCATTTAGAAAGCGTAAACCCATTCTCAGCAAGATATTGCCGCAGAATTGGTGTTGAAACAGGCGTTCCAGCTTAGTTTGCATTGGTAATTTTTTTACGTAAAGTGTAATAATATCAGGGCTCGGCTGCAATCGCGGCCGTCCTATATTTTTTTGCCCTGCAAATGAGCCATTTTTACACTCATTCCATTTATGAATAACCCGTCCAACTGTACTTTCTGAAACCCCCAGGACCTCAGCAACACGCTTGCGTAGTGTAAACTTTTGACGTTTTTTAGATGAGGAATTCTCCTCTGAAAAGTATTTGTGAGCATTTAAAATCATTATTTTTCGTTTTCAGTTAGAGGAGCAGCACTTCGCTGGCTCGTGAATAGAGACATGTTTTAACAAGTTAAGTGATGTACTATATAAAGATGGTTATTCACTTGTCTAAAATTGAAAAAAAAAGTTATTACTATTAAAGTCGCACACACAAATTTAATTAGAGCGAGGTATCTATCTTTTTGCACCGGACCATATAATATATAACGGGTAGATATTTTATGTAAGAGCGGCATTTCTTCGTCCGCTACGTTTTATCAGGATCATCCGTTAACCTGCCTTCGGTGATATATTATTCGTCTTCGTCTGTATGATGAAACAGCGATGCGATGTTATTAATTCCCTAGATATACAGTATATGTCATATTAACGAAATTAATAGGTCGTTAAGAGTAGCGATTAGATTTGAAGTGTTGTAATTCTTATTTAATTGTTATATATTTATAATTATTACGAATAGTATAGAAAGTTCGATGGAAAATATAACTACTGCCCAAGATATATTCGACACGAACCCAAAGGAAGCCTGCGCAAGTGTACTACGAACACGAATCATGAAAGATAATAGTCAACGTAAAATCATTCGTCTAGCAAAAAGGATATATATACTTAAGTAGTATAATAAGTTGGCTAAGTCGGTGGCCTCATCATACTACAGGCCCCTATTGTCATGCTGAGAGAGCACAGCCGCCTCATGAAGAAAACTGCTGACATATACATAGACAACATACCCAAACTATGGATAAAACTTTACGTTTGAGGAATCATTATTTCAATGCAATGTAACTACATACACATGCTAGATAAGCCTGATGGGAGCAAAAACTAACCCATTTATTATATGTTATAAACATTTTTATTTAGCTCTTCTCTTTTTATTTGTTATTTTCTCTGGTGTTTTGTTATTTGAGTTATTATTATTTTTCTTTTTATGTGGTGTTTCAAAGCAATCTACAATAGAAATTTGGTTTTCTGGAGTTGTTGGTCGAGAAAGGCCCTGGTCACTGCCTAAGATTTCTGAAATAAGATCCTCCTCCTTAAAATCATCTTCCTTTGAGGTTGTCACCGGTTTTCTTCGCGAGGCGGCTGCGTCCCCTCACCGTGACAATAGGGCTCTGTAATGTCGATGCTTAGTG